ATTTATTAAATTTAAAAAATTTTCTTTTACATTTTTTATGCGATATTTGTGTTTCCAACCGATTATATCGGGTCAGCCGGGTCAACCGATTATATCGGGTCAGTCGGGTCAACCGATTATATCGGGTCAACCGAATAACTGGGTTAACCGGTTAAGCTTTTGCTTAACCGGGTCACCCAATTTTTTCGGTTCGGTTCGGTTACCTGATTATTGTCTAACCGGGTCATATCATTAGTCAACAGTAATAAACTCTTTGTTCAACACTTAGTGCAAGCTGGGACTCTTTGTCTTTAGTAATGAACTCTTCATTCAATACTTAGTGCAAGCTGGAACTCTTCATCTAAAGATTGCTTTTAACTCTAAAGATTGCTTTTAACTCGATACTTTTTTTCACTTAATATTATTAGTAAAAACCTCTTTTCCAACTAATCTATATGTATACTTTTAAGGAATGGAGTTTGCAAAAAGAACCTAAAAATGAAAGAAGTAAGTAAGATAACAAAAATTGTTTTAAGCAAAATAAGTTACTAAAATGGTTTGTCTTAGAACAAAATTACTATTAACAACAATATACAAGTGCAACCTGCTATCAAAAAAGCGAGGTATGTTAATATAAAATATTAGACAATATTTCTTTTCAGATCTATTTACTATAAGTGAATATCTATTGTATGTTATATTAGGATACAACTGAAATTAAACAAAGTAAAATTAAAAAACTTTTTAATGACTCAAGATAATACAACATTTATATATTATATGAGCTATTTAGATTATTATCTAAAGCAGACGCAGAAGATCTGTTCAAGTCAATAGCATATAACACCACTGTTAAAATAAATTTTCCTGAAGATATAGAGGATTACTTAAAAAATTTGCTTACTAGAGATATTGCTAGCATATTGACAAAAGCAAAAGAACCTCTTAGTAATGATGCACAACTGCTTCTACTATAGATAAATGAAATATGTAAACATTTTATTTGTTATTATTATTATAGAGGTCTGGAAATAAATAGAGATAAAAAGACTTGGTCTGGCCAGACAGTATATCAGATGCTTGACTTGTTTTCAATGTTCTTTAAACATTTAACATCAAGTGTATCCTTGTAAAAAATATCATTTACATCTTTAATTTATATTTTTTAATAAATTAATATATAATTTCATTTAACTTATTTTATTTAGTGAAGAAAAACCAATGAAGTGTACAAAGATAGGGTTTGTAATATTCAAAATCTATCAAATATCTAAAGAGAGTGTAAAAATAATGGTGTTTTATATCAAGATCAAAATGCAACAATAATTTATGAACAGTCTTATAGTATAGCCAAATATGACATAATGCATTACTTAGAGAACATAGTTAAATTAGTAAGAAATAGTGTAGACGATTTAAATCAAAATTTTGTTCAATGAGGTGTGGTGGCTTAGTGAAGTGGTCTAGTCGTCACCCTCTCCAAGCGGCAGGTCTAGAGTTCAAATCCCACGGACGATGATTTTGAAAAATAGATTTGTGTTTCGGTAACCTGTATAAGATGAT